GACGGGCCCCTGCCGAGCTGCCGGCGTGCAGGGGGGAGCGACGGGCAAGGAGGAGCTCGGGGGCCTCGGAGCGGAAAAGCAGGCGGCAGGAGCCTCGTGTGAAAGGGTGGTCATCAAACTTAAAACTCTTAAAAAGTGAGGGTGATAAGAGGAAGAACATTCCCCGATGCATGAGTTTTTTCAGGGCCCGATATAATTTAATTTGAGACAGTGTAAAAGACGTTGTGCCCAGTTCAGAGAAGGCAGAAGTGCAGGTGCTGAAGGCCAGGCCCAGGCAGTTCTCAGCCGCAGCCAGCCGGTGCTCGGCAGACTCCATTCCACCTTAACATTCGCGGGTGCAATTGTGCCTGTGCAGTCAAGTGCAAATGCACTTGATACATGGAGCGACTCAGTCTGTCTGGCACTGTCCTTGTGCCATTTACCCAGCTACATGAGCTGCTCATCAGAGCTCAAAATGGTATGAGCAAAGAAAACTTAAAAAGCTCTATTTAAGAAAAGGAGAAGGAAGATACTTTACGTGTTCAAGAAATGTTTTTGCGTAGCTATTTAGGACTCTTAGAGTAAAGCTTTGTGTTGGTGTTTGGGGGTTTTTGTGTGTGTGTATGTGGAGGAAGTTGTGGTTGCTTTACTTTGATTTGTTTTTTTGTCAGCTAGGGAATGGAATTTCCTCAAAGTAGTGTAATGTATTCTATAGGAGTATCACCTGGTAATGAACCCATTAACTAAGGAATTGTAAGGATTAAGTAGAAGAGCCCACCTATATGACAAACTGAAGTTCAGAATCATAAAGGACCTCGATACTGCATGGTGATGACTAGCTATTTCTGCCTTGCTGCCTATTACTGTATAACCCAACAGCAGGTTGTGTAACACATCTGTATGGTTCCTAGGTGGATGGTTACCAGATTGAACTTTAAACCTTTTCCTTTTCATTGCTGCTATAATTCATAAATCATTCTAGTCCCACCCCGGTAACATAAGACTTACTGTCAGCTTTTGTTGGTGCAAAAAAAAGTAGGATATGTATCTGAGTGAAAACTATCCAAGTTAGAGGCTACTGGAACAGGTCTTTTCCTTAAATTATTTTGTATTATCCTGCTTCTAGTGGCCTCTGTGGTAATTTCCATGTCTTGGATGCTTACTTTTCCTGTGTCAAACCAGTGAAAATGCTCAGCCACAGGATCTGTGTTTCCACAATTATTTGCCAGTTTCGTATTTCTTCTTTCTAATTTTAATGTGTCCCTATCAGCCAAGCAGCAATGCAAAATATATGTGCAAGTACATTGTCCTTTAATTTTGTTCAATAGTTTTTCAAAGACTATGTTGCTTAAACAGAGCTTTATATTATTATTTGAAAGCTGGCAGATTGAGCTACTGCTAAAGTAGTGCATTACTGTAATATGAAATTTTCCACACCAAAAAGTGTTTTTTTTTCCCCACAACTTGCAATATATTGAATAAACTTACATAGAAATCAATAAAATCTTGTTGCCAGATTTTATTTTTCTTTTGTATATAGGTGCAGTTTTTGTGATGATTCTAATTTCTGTGAAAAACAGTAAAAGTAACAATAATTCTATTGTTTCCTTGAATTCCTATAATTTTCCTAGAATTATGTTCTAGGGTTGTAAATTATGTAACTAATATGAAGATACCCTTAAATAATCACAGAAAGGTTGAGGTTGGAAGTAACTTCTGGAGGTCATCAGCTCTAACTCCTCTGCTCAAGGAGGGCCACCTAAAGCAGAATGTCCAGGACTGTGTCCAGATGTTTTTTTAATATTCTTGGTTTAAACACTGTTCCTCCACAGTTATTTTGTCAAGAAAGAGATGATAGAATACTTACATGAAGCTACACCATGTCAGCACTGATATTTTTTTTTTTCCTTGACATGCAGAGACACAATCTTTTAGGATTTATGAAATTAGAGTCAATTCTTAGGAGCTGTTGATAAGCTTAGGCAAAGTGTATGTCTGTAGTGAGACTGTCCAAAGGAGTTAAGGAATTACGGAAATGGTAAGAGGTGCAGGTGGCTACAATGAGGTGGCAGTTGGTGGGATAGAAGGGAGCAGGAAAAGAATGACCCAGTTAGAGAGATGGCCCAGGAAAGTGACCCCAGCTGTAGCACTCTGAATATATAAGAAGTCACTTGAGTGTTGACTGTTCTGTGAGAAGAAATGGCAGATGCAGCCCTCCAGGTCCTGAGAGGGAGTGGGGATGTGTCCATCAGATAGCCTGTCAAGAGAAAAAAATGATTTGTTACTGATTACTTTCTCAGTCAGAAGAGATGATGATGGGTTTGCTCTTTGCTGTGTAGGCTGGCTGTGCTTAAACATTTCATCTTCTTCATAAGACTTAGGTCAGACGGTACCCTGAGTAGCACTAGAGACTGAATTCTGTATGCCAGAACTGAAGCTCATTTATACATTGTATTTTTCTTAGTGGGGAAGGGAAAAACAGGTGTTTGGCTCAGCTGTACATGTACCACCTTGCCCTGAGTCTGAGTACAGTACTGGTGAAATGGTCAATTTTCATTGCAGGCATTTAATTTGCTTTTAAAGCAGATTTTTTTTTTTCTTCTATGTTTTGAAATTCACTGCAAATAAATCAATTTGCTCAGTAGTATTGCTGTCAAGCACTCTTGTCCTGCATGTAGCTTTTTGGCCTTTAGGTGTTTTGAAAGTGTCTTTTTTTTCTGGAGGAGACAAATAGTAGAAAACTACCTGTCTGTGGAGCCTTGCTGGCTCTTAGCGCGTGGTTACTCAGAATATAATGCAAACCATTGGTAACCTAGAAAGAAAGGGCTTTTCTTTAACTATGCAAATTGGTCCTCAGGCTTCACATCACAGTAATACTAGCCTTTAGGTCAGATGTAAATTGTTTTCCTGAGCATTAAACTTGTCTAAATGCAAAACTAATGTGATGTGACCTCTTGCTCAAAGTAAAATCAACGTGGGTCTTTCTATTACTCAATATAAATTGAACTCCTTATATGAGAATTCTAGGGGTTGTGTTGTTTTTTTTTTTCTTTGCTTTATTTTACCGTTGTCATCCAAGAGCAGGCGTAGTAACATGACACTGGTTTAAGTCAACACACTATTAGTGAGGGAGGAAAGAATAATCAGCAAGTTCTATCAGTTAAGAGCTGGAGCAAAGAGGAACAGGAGTGTAGCAGTTTGCATAATGTTATAAGTGAGATCCTGAAATCAGTGGTTTGGAAGACAGAACATAGATTATAATAATCTCAGTGTGGTGTTTTCATCTGTGACAGCATGTGTTATGTTAATGAATGGCCAAAAAGGTTTCTGAAAACATTTATTCAGCAGTACAGTGATTATCAGGTAAGGCAAATACAACATTATTATAATAATATTACCACTGGGGGGAAATCTAGCATACAGAATGTATCAGCATTTACCACCTTGTCCAGTTGTTGTAATACTATTTTTAGAAAGTCTTGGTTTAAGTTTCACATTATGAGGCAATGCTCTGTTACAAAAATTGTGTTTATCTTAAAAAAAAAAAAAAAAAGTCTTTCTGTGTTGAAATCTTTAAGGGTTAAGAATCTGTGAAAGCCCTGTATATATTGAACATTTGTGGCTATTTAATCAGATGTTTATAATAATGTCATTGGGTTTTCAGGTTAATCTGCTAATTGACAATGAAGCAGAGAAAGATTACCTCTATGATGTGCTGCGGATGTACCACGAGTAAGATCTAGCTTTATATATGTTTGTGTAGAATTTTAGTAATGTTTTTAAGTGTAAAGAGTGAATAGTCAATACTTTAAGTCTTTCTATATGCTAATAGAAAAGTAGTTGAAGTAATAGTTTTGATCCTGTTTAGTGAAGTCTTATACTTCTAGAGCATAGGGTGCAGACAGGAAAGGAGCATGTCTGTAATCACCCATAAAATTCTTCTTGTTTCATGATTTGGCAGTTTTGGAAAAAGAATTTGGTGGATTTGTGTTGGGGGTGGAAAAAAGCACCAGGATAATAAAATAGTTCTTAGAAAACAGAAAGCATTAATAAAATTCATTAATATTTTTAAATAATGCTTGCTTACTTGGAACAGAGGTTTTAATTGAATTTGCTTTTCAAAAATTTAAGTTTTATCTGAAAGCTGAAAAGAATTAAGTCTGTTTGGCATGTTTAACAACTGTGGCTTATAACGTGATGGGGGAAAAAAATGGTAAGGTGATAGGCCTATTACCAGTCCTTTTGCTGAACTGATTTAAACCACAGTTGCTTAGGACCTGTACCATTGCAAATGGGATCAGCCTCTGATCCATTGTTTTTTTGAACAAGATAAGAATGCATTTTCCACTCATCATATACACGTGGCTTTGATAGATCCTGTTCCCATTCATATCTTAGTCAATAGCTTTTCTGCTGAGTGAAATGTAGACGTTTCCACCTGATGTTTGCACTGAGCTATAGTTATGGGTGTATTCAGCTGCATATCTGATTCAGTTTCACTCGGGTCTGTCTAATTGCTTTTCCATTCATAAGGCCTGTTGTTTGGGAAGCTGGTTAATTCAGTAGCTCTGAATTATTTAAAATCTTCTTGCAGTTACAAAATTAACAATGAATATAGTAACTTTTCTTCTGTTGCCAAAATTGCAATGACTTGAGCAAAATTTCCAATATCTTTGTGAACATATGTTGATGATATATTACTGTTTTTGCATACATTATGAATACATTTTCCTTTTTTTTGAATATGTTATGAATACATTTTACAGGGTAAAACGTGCAGTTGTTGTTGGAGTTAACATTTAATGTCAGATTCACTGGGAGTAGTATTTTCAAAAGCATTTGACTTCTAATCCCATTCCTGAGTTGTATTTTCACTTCACATGCCTCAGAAAAATTGTATTCCAGGAAATGAAAATTTTAAGAGCAATTTTAACAGCAAATAGTATAGACTCTTTGACTGGGTTTTGTGTAGGAGTAGCTCCACTGAAACTTAGGGACCTCTTCCACTCTTGCACCTGGGAAAAAAGGTACATTTCCTAGACCTCTAACTACTTCAGCACTGACAATATCAGGGAGGCTGCTTTGGACAGCTCTCATAAAAGTGGTATTCACAGCAGTTTAACTTCTGTAGATTTTGTTTATTAGTTGATGGCCCTTCAGTTTTGACTTAAAAACTTTAAAACTTAAACCAAGTCTTTGCTGCAGCTACTGAGGGTCATGGGTTTTTTTGAGTCTCATAAGTTCAGGAGAGGAAGGAGGTTGTAGCATAAATCACTTAAAATGTTTCCTAACTAGGAAGGTGACAAAAATCTAGTAGGTAGGTATATTTGAGCTAGAAAGCTAGTTAAAATGGTTCCATAAATCTTTTGGAGACTCTGAAATTAAAAGTGTCATCCATAGAAGTGATGTGTGTGATGTTAAAAGGTAAAGGCAATATATAGAGATATCCTGTTGTTTTGAAACAGGTAGTTGTTGTTCCTCTTTGCTTACAGAATACCTGCTTTCTCAGAGGCTGTTTTGCTTTGTTTAAGCCAACATCTACATACATATCTATTTTTACTAGGTTGAAGGGACATGCAAACATTGAAGCCACATATCCAGCAAGTTATTAAATGATGTTTTATGTTGTGTGCCTGTTTTCTCACTGTGTTTTCTCAGATCTATGAATCTCCCAGTGCTTGTGGGGGACCTCAAACTTGTCATTAATGAACCAAGCAGGTTGCCTCTATTTGATGCTATCCGCCCACTTATCCCGTTAAAACACCAGGTGGAATATGATCAGCTTACACCCAAAAGATCAAGGTAAGAGAGCACAGAACAATGCAGCTAATTTAAATACAAGCAGGAAATACTGAGTTTTCAGATAAAGTAAAAAATGGGTGACCTGTGTGAAGCTGGGCATAACTACTTTACTTTTGCTATATTGGCTAGAAATACAGTTTTGAGCTACCTGAAATGGGTTGCCAAATAAATTAATATGTTGAAAACAGGGTAACAGAGTCAAACCCAATTCCTTTCCCAGTTGAAACAGACTTTTCTCATTTTTCCTGCATTTAATTAAACTTCATCTAGCTCTAGCCCTTTAGAAGCAGACAGCTTCAGTGATTGTGAGAGGATTATGGAAAATACTTGATGACTTTGGCTAATGCACATCCATCCAAGCATCAGTCAACTTGCTTTTTTTTCATGCCTAAATGTTATAATAGAAAAATGTGTAACTTTGTTATGAAACATTGTTTCTACAAAGTATTGTGCAGCTGAACAGTCAGGCATCTTCCATTTTTGCAGGAAGCTGAAGGAGGTGAGATTGGATCGTTTGCATCCTGAAGGACTTGGAATAAGTGTGAGAGGTGGAGTGGAATTTAGCTGTGGCCTCTTCATCTCCCAGTTAGTTAAAGGAGGACAGGCAGACAATGTTGGACTTCAGGTAAGAAAATTATATTCATGGCTGCTGTGCTGCCAGAAGCCTTTTGCTACATTATTAGGGGAATGGGCAGTAAGAATTGTGCTTTAATATGTAGAAATAGCTGTTGCTAAAGTGCTTTTTGTCACTTGTAATAAAATTAATAAAATACATGTAAATGTCATAGTAAATACTGCTATACCAATCCTATTGAAGTTCTTTTCACCATCTTTAATGACATGTCAGCATTTTATTTTTGTTTGGGGAATGATAATGTTTGAAGATAAAAGGGCTTTCTACAGTGTTTATATTTACATGAGTAGCAACAATTAGATGTAAGCAGAAGGAAATAAAGATTTCTAACTAGTCTGTGGAAGAGCATTTTAAGTTGCCAAATTGTTTAAATTGATTGATTAAATGTTTACATTTAATTGATTAAATGAATAACAGAGCATATAAATATTAAAAATGTTAATTCCACCTTGCACAGATATAATTTGTTTTATGAAGTGTTTCTTTGAACCTAATGTATAAATTGGGGGTTTTGTTTTATGCAGTGGAAGTACAGAAAAGAATTAACATATTTTTAACCATTTGCAGTATCTTTTGTACTGCATAGAATTTCACACTCAGTGAACTGTAACCACGTTGGCAAAAATAATTATGTATAGAAACACTTTTTTCCTCTATCAGTGCTTATGCAGTTTGCATTAATGAAGTTCTGGGTGGTTTGTGTTTTTTTTTTGTGTGGTTTTTTGTTTTGTTTGTTTGTTTTTGTTTGTTTGTTTTTTAAATGTGTTATTTCTTGTTCATATATATTACACTGAAGGGAGAAGTAAAGAATTGCTATGGCAAATGTCTGCATCTTTCTGTGATTTCAAAGCTGATAACTTGTATTACATGTCTGTGTTTCTGAGTAGAGAGGCTGATACACCTGGCAAATTTCAATTTGTCAACTGAATAGGTGCTGAAAGTATTGATGCTTAAGGATTATATTTAATGCTAGTACAAACCACATTAGACTGGCATGGTTCATTGTAGTGTTTAATTAAACAAGTGTTTTGTACCTATGCTCCAGGATAACCTCATGACTCTTAGATTAAAAAAAACCAACCCAAGTGTTGGTAAGGCACTCACAGTTAGGGTGCCATGTTAGCATGACTCATGCTGAGTGCATTCTAAAATTTAAGTACATGTTCCTGCCTGCATACATGCACGTGCCCTTTTGTTTTCACATTCATACCTATCTATCCCATTCACCAATTGAGAATCAACGTTGAATTGGTCCCAGCTTCTGGCAGCCTGTTCTGGACAGGCACATGACAGGCTCCCTTGATGGTTTTAAAAGCTCTTTTAGAATAAAGCCACAAATTCAGGGAATACGCACCCATAAATTGTGTATTTAGTTAGAATTTAGAGTGTGGCATAGGACACCACAAACACTCTGCTGGATGTGCTAGTGGCCTACTTTTAAGCATGGGGTTTGTCAGTGGATAACTCCAGGAAAGGCCTTTGATGCATCTTCCCGAGGGTGCACGACAAAAGTGTGTGTTCCTTATGCACATCAGTACACAGTGAGAATGGCAAGTGTAGACAGGAGAGTTGCTCCTGGATTGTGGTCAGTAGAGAAATTCCAGCTGCTTCCTTCCTCCACTGCTAGAAAACTGAGAAAAAGGCAAAGACTAGTCACTTACATGGCTTTTGAAAATGTCTGGGACATACTGGAAAGCTTTAATGATGCTGAGTAATGAAGGACTTAATAGCTAGTCTTACACTGCCATGCTGATAGATTCATCTCAATCCTGTGCTGCTGTGCTCCAGCTCTGCTTCTCTGCTTGTTTCAGACTAATGTTTTGACACAATCAACAGATAAGGAGCTATGGCTTAGTTGTGCTACACTAAGGATGTCAGCTTTAGTTTTTTTCTCAGTACACAAAAAGGCCCTATTGGTTTTATGTAGCTGAGGCCATTGTACTACATGGGTGACACTGAATGGGGTTGTAAAGGATCTTGTACAAATTGTACTGCAACTCGGAATGTGGTTAGAATTTGGCAGACAAAATAGGGACAGTAAGGGGGAAATGTGCTTGAGACTGACTCTGAATTTGCTAGGGTTAGATTATGTGTATTAATATGAACAGCTGGTGCTTTGTGGTTCATGTAACCATCTGACTTCAGTTTTCTGATATGGGATGTTAAAGATCAGCCTGAAGTGCCTTCATAATAGGTGGCACTGGGGGCTTTCTGAACCCCTCTGAATAACAAGAGCTGACAGGCAGCCCATTGTTCTAAATTGCTGTCTCACAGTAGAGCCAGCTGCTTCTGAAATTTCACCCACCTGCTTTATTTAACTGAATCTCTACACATTTTCTATCAAAAAAATGTTATCTGAGAAAGGTATAATGATCTTCTATTATACCATCAGTTTTACGTCCTGCTGCTTTTTTAAAAAAAAAAAAATCCATTCATATTGCATGATTTCTTCTTCAGGTAGTTTCCAGGTGACATTAAAATTACTGAACAATCAATCATGAAGGCTCACTGAGGCATTTGTATTTTTGACTGTTTAACTACAGTTTCTCTAGGAGGCCAGTGTTTTGTCCTTTCATGAGGAAATGTACTTAATTTTTTTTTTACCCCTCTCTTTTCTCATGCTTAAGTCCTTTGGAGTTCTGCTGAATACAAAGACACAGATTGATATGAATGAGGAAAGTATAAGAAGTATACAAAATGAGACATTTGAAACAACCATGTTATTAAAAAAACAAAAAACAAACAAACAAACAAAAAAAACCCACAACACTTTAATTTCCTGGAGGCACTAAATATTACATTTTTTCTGTTAGAAGCTACAAATATTAGGCATTGGGAAAAATTAGGTTTGGAGCTTTTCTTTTGAAGGTCTGTCATCTCCCCGTTTGATAGGGAAAGGAAAACAGTGATACACAATAACAAGGTAATTGTTACTGTTCTACTTTGCTCAATCCTGCAGACTTTTATTTCTGCTGCTTCTGTTTCAGAAGGTTGGTATACAGTAATACCAGAGCAAGAGTAGGAAAATATATGAAAAAAACTGTTAACTTTTTCTGTGTATGGATACTTTTTTTGAGGGAAAAGCTGCTCAAGTGTCCTAAAGAGAAGCAGTTTATTACATGCCTATGTCTCCTTAGTTCAGCCTAGACTGGGGTATTTCTAAAGCACCGTCAGTCACATATTGCCTGTCAGTAATAGAAATGTCAGTAGGATTAGTGAAGAGAACTAGACTGTCTTTTAATTTAATTTCTGAAGCTCAGCAGAGAAGTATTAAAAAAATCTATATAGTAAAAGCTCATTGCCACGTGGCAGGAAAAAATAAAATATGCTCTTGTCTGCATTTGTAATATTACAAGTGTGTGCCTCTCAGGGAGATGATGTAATGCTACCAGATATGACTTGCTTAGTGCATGATGACATCCTTAGAGCAACACTGCTGCTGATACAGAAGCTATATGGAGACTCACAAACAGCACTGCAATTTGCAGCCCTAAAGCTGGGATACTTCTGTGTGTTACGGCATTGCAGTTAATAACAGGAGGTTAGATCACTCTTTTAGAAACCTGGGTTTGTGCAAACCCAGGCTCCAGGGTCTCTTACAGCCCATGTGATGTGGAAGATGAAAGGAAAGGAGGGATCTTGAACTAAACTAAAAACAAACACCACAAACAACAAATATGTAAGATCAACAGAAAAGTCTAGGTAGATGAAATGAGGTCAACATTGCATACTTGATGTTAAATTATATGCAAACCTGTGGTGTTTTTACAAGTGAGTAGTTCAAAGAGAGGCCTGAGATGGGAATGGAAGATACTCTTTGAACATTTTACTATTGAGGAACTCAGCCTTCTTGTGGAAAGCAGAGGTCACTAGCTTTCCTACCATTTCTGAGATACCATAACCAACAGAGTCTGAAATAGTCCGATGGTCTGTATGGTTTGTAGAGGATGTTGAGTCTCTCTGCACAGTGCCACGAGCCTGACTTACCTCTGAGCCACTTTGCTGCTTGGCAGCACAGTCACATTGCTGATGTTAATCCCAAGCCTAAAAGCGTGTTCTATTTCCTAAGTGCTGAGGGCAGTGGAACAGCTCTGGACCAAAGTGTTAGGGTGGGGAACTAGCTTAGAATTTATCAGGGCAAAGAGCAGTGCAATGCTGTGGCTGCCAGGCCTGTGGGGTGGGTGGGTGGATGTGGTTTTGAACATTTGAACAAGTTGTTTGAGTGTTCTGTCATAGCGAGAGCTGGCAGGGATGCAGCACTAAACTGCAGGCCCCGTGTGCTTTTCCTCCCCTAATTCTGCATTTCTACCACAGGTTGTATGTTCAAAATCCTTCAATTCTGACCTGTTTCCGCGGTTAAGGGCCACATTAAAAGTCTGACTGGCTTAAATGAAGACAACCAAGCTTTTAGGAGTGCTGCTAATTGCAGAGGCCGTTGCCCTGGGTGAGCTTTTTGGGTGTCCAGCAGGTGGAGCAGCAGTCCCGCTGGCTAGGGGCTGCGGACCACGGTCCCCACCTGCCTCTGCAAGTGTATTCTGTTCTGCAGGACAGTCACATCTGGCATTTTCTTTGCTTTTCTAATCCTCTGATGCTGTGTCGTGTCAGATAAAAATCCTGTCAGTTCAGTGGAGAGGAAAAGGCACTACATGAGCTACACTGGTATAGTGGCAGTGTTGTTCATCTTTGTGTGCTATTGCAGAGCATGTGACATTTTACAGAAGAAGTAGAAAAGTTTATGAAAGAAGTGAAAGAAGATAAGCAGGTGTTTTCCTGGTTTGCTGTTTTCAGTAGGAAGACTCGACAATATTTATTACATATGAAGAAAGGCAGAAAGCACTGGCATGCCCAGTGTCTTGTATCCAAGGGTAGACCTGTCCCTGTGTGTTAATGTGACGGTCTCAAAGACACAGGCCACACTGAGGAATTGCTGCTTCCATTTCCTCATCTCACATAAATGTAGTGGTGCAAGTATAGGCTTCTGGTGTTGAGCTGTGCAGTGCCAGAGGAGTCTCCAGCTCTGCCCATTTTTTCCCTAAAAATGGGACCAAGATAAAAAGAAGCTAATGCTTAGTGATCTAGACAATGACTTCTGCAACTTTCTCAGGCACAGATCTTACCATTAAACTTGCTTAATGGAGTAAACAGTGGATACACTAAAATTTGGCAGCTTGAAACTTGAGTCATTAACTAGAATGTATTAGGCAATCATTAACTAGGAATAATGCTGCCATGAAAGCAGATATATTGGTGAGGAGGCACACAAAGTTTCATTGATTAAGAACAAAATCTTATTCTGTTAATGAGAAAAGTCCTGCCAACTCTCGGGGTGGCATTTCAATACGTTTTACGTTAATAAATATTCCCAGTAGTTTCTAAGAAACACTGCTGGAGAGCAGTAAGGCAAAGCCAAAGTATTTGGCTTTGTTCTTGCAGAGATAGAAGTACAGAGGTATAAGAGGGTATTGTCAATGGTTTGTTGTTAAAGCTGTTTCCTGGTAATCATTCTATATCCTACTCTGCAGAGGGTTAACTTAGGAGAGCGTATGCACTAATTTTCACACAGCCACGTCACGAGGTTCATGTCAGGTAAAAGTCTTTGCTTATCATACTCTAGCCAGGGCTGTAATCTTGAGCAGCTAATAAGATACAACTTTAAATGAAATAGTAATGTCTCTGTCACCAGTTCCTACTTAGAATATCTAGCTGAGGGGATCATTAGGCAGAGTTCATAGAAACCTGGAAATCTCTAGTCTGGTCATCATATCATAATCAAATGTGTATTTATGCTAAAGGAAGGGAAACCTTTTGAAATAAAACCTTTCCAGTGATGTACTGCCTTTTTTTTTTTTTTTTTTCACCAAAAAAACTTGAGTTCTATTAGTTCTTTTGTGTTTTCTGATAAATAAGATTTGAAATTTTATAGAGGCAGCTGAAAGCTTATGCCACCCTGTGTGTTCTACACTAGTAAACTGAACATGGCCAGGAAATATTCTTGGGGTGCTGACAAATGTTAGTGTGGTCCCTAGTGTGGCCTTTGGTCTATGCCAGAGATCATTCTCGATCAGTTCCTGTGCAGTTCAGGGCGTGCTGGGGTGTTTCCAGGAAAGCAGGTCACATACAGTGCTAGAGAATGGTCTTTATACTTAATGTATGTACTAGGAGGTATGTAGTTTCTTTGTAAAGCTGGCCTGGGTTTTGCATCAGACAGTGAGTCTTGGAGATAAATCAAATATGTCTCATAGACTTGCTTCTACAGCCTTTTGCTTCCAGATATGTTACTTCTTTCTGGTGCAGTATACCACTGTAAAGATGCTGGAGGATAGTGCAGTTGGTTTTGTATTTCTGCTCTAGTTCCTTCATGAGAGTTTTGTGATATGTTTTTCTGTGATTTGTTCAGAACAACAGTGAACTGTTTCGAGGCAGGTAGCACATGCTGGCAATGAGGGATGTCTTTCACACTAGTAAATACTTGGTTATCTAGTACTGTTTTTTCTCTTGAAGGCCTGTTTGGTTTTGTCGTTGGGGTTTTTTTTTGTTTGGTGGTTTGGGGTTGGTTTTTATATTTTTTTTCCTGCTAGTAAATCCCTATAACTTTTCCTGTACAGCAGGTGAAACCTGTATAGAAAATTCCAGTTGCTTTCCAGTCCATTGTATACCCTGTTTGAAACAAAAGGCACACGGGTTTGGAAGATAATCAGAGGGCCTGTATCTGTACAGAAACCCAGAGCCAGTCCTCTAGGGTGGAGGACAGAGTGCAAATTACTGCTCCTTTTAGTCAAGTCCCCCTCATTTAAATTTGCCTTGGGAATAACACTAATACCATCTCTGCTATTCAGAGTGCATGTTCTTGGTGTGTTCTGTAGCTGACTGTGCTCCCTGGCACCCCTGGAGCCCCAGTATGTATATATTTGGAGACACATGGAGGCCTGTGTAAGTTTAGGAAAAAGTGATTGACTTGCCTTCTGTATGGTGGGACCTTCCTTCTGTGTTTGTCTCAAGTTTTCTCACTTTTTTCTCACACAACAGAGAATGCCACAGCCAAAGGGCCTTGGGTAGGGTGATGGTACCATCTTTTCAACCGTAGTGTATGGTGGGTTGCTGCTGTGAAACACTTGAAAATGTCACAAGCAGCATGCAATTTTATAACTTCTGTAGATGATCCAAGAGGACTTAAGCTACTGCACTCTAGAATAAGCACTCATTATGCTAGTGCATGACTACTGTAATTAATCCGAGAATGCCTCTGAAATCAAGATAAATTCCATTAAAATAATGCAGTGTTCTGAATCCAGAGTCAGGCAAGGTAGTAAGACCAATATTAGTTTTCTAGTGATCAAAATAGTTAAGAAGGTATCCCAGAGAACATGTGGTAAAAGCAAACTTAAAGTGCTGAAGTATGAAGGAAGAAAATAACTCCCCATTATTTGATTTGAAATGTGGCCATTTACATTTAAGGTAAATTGTGGAGTAAAAGTCTGATGTGTTAAGGCTAGGTATTATTTATAAAATCATTATTTAGCCATTAATCTGCGCTTTTGATGTTAAATATTAAGTTCAAACAAATACACGTAAACATGATCCGGACATTACCTGAAATTCAAAAAGTATTCCAGACTCAACCTTATGAAACCTTTGTATCAAAATGATTGCCAGGTTAAAAACCTTTTAATGTTAATCCACAATTTATTTTTCCTTCTCCCTTTCATTTCTGAGGTTGGTGATGAGATAGTCCATATAAACGGGTACTCGATTTCATCCTGCACACACGAGGAAGTCATAAACCTGATTCGTACAAAGAAGATAGTGTCCATAAAAGTAAGACGTAAGTAACAGTTTAAAAACCACCTGATTCACTGAAGGTTGCTAGTAATAGATTGCTGGTGCTCTGTACAAAGTGTAACTTAACAGAGTATTTTTCTTTTCCAGATGTTGGCATGATACCTGTCAAAAGGTAATGATATTTAATTTGAAAACAAATTAGAGTCTTCATTTTCACACAGCCTCTTCAATATCTGAAGAACCTCTGTTTATCTGTATATTTGAAAATGTGCATCTCTGTAGCTAACTAAAACTTTGTGATTCATCCTTTGTGATAAATAGGCGATGTCTTGGCTGATGAATCTAACTTTTTACGCCAACTGCATCCTTAAATGAGCCAATTTCTGTTTCATCATTCATGGATATTAGCTGGAAATGTCATTGTCAGTGCACCAAGCTTAACAGCTCCACTGCTTCTCTGTGTGCATCACATTGGACAACTGCTTCAGAGCTTAGAAAAATTTGACGTTATTGTCCTCTTCCAATTTTTGTTGAAAAGTTGGAACTTTAGAGTATTTTAGAAATGTGAAGAATGGCAGTTGTCTCTCTGTGAAGGCATTTATACAAACTGTTCAGGTTGTTATGATTGTTTTCATAGTTTTTCTTGGTTTCCCAGAATTGTTGCACTTGAGGTTTTCTCGGTTTTGTTTGACCAGCTTTACTAGCCTAAATAATGATATGCTTGTTTGATGTTTGATTTTAAACTACTGAAAAATAAACCAGTTGTGAGTGGTGTGCAAAGGAGCTTGTGGATGCAAAATAGGAGGCCACATTCCAAAGTAGCTTCTTGAATGCATTCATATTTATTTTGTCCTCATTATTTTAAATTACTTCTTCCTTGCAGTTCACCAAATGAACCCCTCAAATGGCAATATGTGGACCAGTTCGTGTCAGACTCTGGGGTAAGAGAACAATGTTTTATTAAGATGTCTTCTGGGAAGCCTGCAATGGTTCTGAAACACATTCTCCTCTGACCTTATCACAGAAGATATTTTATGTATTTCTATCATGTGATATCTTGTTACAAATGTTCTGGGAGAAACATCTTCTGTGATATGAAATTATTCTAGAATCATTAGGCAGGAACAAATGAAATACCTTTTGCTCATTAATTGGTACTTTATATTGCTTGAGCTTATTAGCTTATCAGGCTATAGTTCTGTATAAATCTTCAGCAGATGATTTGGCCTGGCTTAGCTACTATTGTAGTCAAGAATGACAGGCATGAATGCAAGTGACTTCTTTGGGTTGCAGCAGTGAAAAGAGAGACCACAATTACTGGGTTTTTGCTTTCAGGAAGAAAGATCTAGTTAAATAGTAAGCACTATCATGTGTTTCTTCCAGGTCTTTTGTCAGGGAATATCTAAGTGATTATTTTGCCATATCACTTTCCTCTAATTTTCCTTCATCCTTTTCTGAAGACAAAGTTTGACTAGTTAATCTTCTTCAAACAGAAAGATAAGTTCAGTCTCTCATCTCAGCCATGCAGCTCCACTGAAATTATTGTACTTCACATTAATCTCCAGTAGGACCTTGGAGGAATCTTATCTTGATGTTGGCAGAGCTTGATCCTGGCTTTATAAAGTTTTGTAGTAGACTTGATACAAGTTCAACACAGAGTAACAGCTGCAGTATTTTTTTGGTCTCCCTACAGGAAGGAAAGGGCAGTGTTGCTGGCCTTGCTTCTTCTGGAGGGAGAGACAATAAAGAGAAGAAAGTCTTCATTAGCTTGATTGGTACAAAAGGCATGGGATGCAGGTGTGTACATGTTTCTTATTTAATGTCAGTGGTTTAAGAGAGACATCCAAGGCAGTTATTTCCAGCCTTTATTGATATGATATCAGGAAAATGGAGGTCCATGCTGGATCAGGAAGACCAACTGCAATAGGAGGAATCTGTGGAACATGTTAATTATTTTTAGACAAAGCATAGATACCTGTGTTATAAGTTCTTATGTGAAACCAAAAAAACATCCTTTCAAAGTAAGAGCAGGCTGAAAGTAACATAATACAAGTTGTTGTGGAAGTGGAATTTATAAATGCTTTTACATTTTAAAAGAATTGAAAATGGTGCTCTGTAACAAAGCAAGTTCCAGTACTGCCCAGTGTCAGGTTCAGTCCCTGAAATTAGACTCCTTTTTGTGAACCTTTTCAGAACGGAGAAGCCATCACACAGATATATCCAATTCCCAAAGGTAATGTTGAATTAGCAAGATGTTTAGCAATATGAACAGATGTTTCTCAGACTCTTAACTCCTGCAGCTAGCTGTGCAGGTTTTGGGATAAAAGGGGTATTGTAGGATTCATTCTATATTTGGGAATATAGAGTTGAAGCTATCACGATGGAACTGCACAGAATATTTTCTAAAGCATAGGTTTTCTTCCATGTTATTTGGAAGATATAAAGGTTTGTTTAAAATAATATTTACAAACCTGGAGGGGTGGTTCAACATCACTTCCTAGATATATTAGCTAAAAGAAACATTGCTGTTTGGGCCCAGCTCAGACTGCAGCTTAAAGCTTCCAGGCAAGATGTTGGCCATGGTTGAAACGTCCTTCTTGCTTTTAATACATCATCTTGAAAAACAGCACTGATTTATACATGTACTGTACCATGGTTAAGTGAGTAAATGGACAAGGAAATACTAGTTCTTCATTGTGTTGCTTGCTTACCTTTGAAAGTCCTTAGTGTCCCAGTTCCTTAGACAGTGTAGGTGAGTATACTATGTGAGTTTCAACATCAAAGGGAAAATCAAGAGGCTTGAATATTTTTCTTTTAGCTTTTTCTTGAATCAAAGCTTTGTGGTGTAAAGGACAGAAAAGTAGGATGATAAACCACTGTGTGTACACTAGCAAATTTCAGTGTTTGTTTCAGGGTAGGCCAATACCACAAAAATATTATTTAATTGGAAATAAATTATGTGAACAAAACTAAGACTTCTCACTGTATTACACTGTTCTGTAAACATTATCTTATAAACATTTGGGTTTTATATTGTGCCAGTATTTCCAGTGGTCCAACACAAAAACCAGGCATTTTTATCAGCAACGTGAAGCCGGGTTCTCTTTCAGCAGAGGTGGGCTTAGAGGTAAGTATGCTGCCTTCCAAAGTAGGTACCACAAGAAATCTTTTGCTGTTTGCTACTTCAGGGATTACAGATCACTGTAAGGCCACTAGCTGTGGGGGTCTTTTTTAATGTGAAAGAAATAACTTGTGGTTACATTACAGATGAAGCTAGTTTTGGAAGTTTTGAGAACATGACAAATGCCCTCCTGGCTCAGACCTGTAGTCCTTCAAGCTCAGTATTTGGTCTCAAACAGTGGCAGCAGGAAATGCTAATACAGGAGGATGTGCAAATGTGGGCAGTTTCCAGTCTGTTTCCTTTGTACTCTGCCAGCACCTATGTTTATTGTATTAAGACTGTTAGAAAGTGTATCTTTCTGTTTGCATTTAATGTATGTACTAATGTAGCAGCTGTACTAAAATTTGGACTATCTCTTTTAGGTTGGTGATCAGATTGTTGAGGTCAATGGAGTGGATTTTTCTAATGTGGATCATAAAGAGGTAAGATCAAGTCCTCTGTATTCCCTGAATTCATAATTGTCAACTTATTAATCATCTGTCTGATTTTCCTGGCTGCAAAAAAAAAAAATAATATTTTGATACTGGGCTACTTAGCCAAAGAGTTAAAGATGGGAATCTGGAGATTTCAGTATCTACCACCCTGTTTAGTTCAGGTGGATCTTCTGGAAATTCCAGCCTGGACAATCAGCATCTTTCATTCTATATGTACATGCCTTTTATCACTTAATTCAGAGTGATTTTTTGTTTTGTTTTAATTTGCAGGCTGTCAGAGTGCTTAAAAGTAGTCATACTTTGACTATCTCTGTGGTAGCAGGCGCAGTAAGTAGTATATTCATAAATGCAGAACACTTGTTAGAATTATTGTGTTGGCAAATAAATGGTAAAAATATAGATAAGAAGTAAAGCTGTGTTTCCTTGTAATGTCTGTACCACTAAATTCTGTCAAACCAGGGTGGTGGTGAGTGACTTTTGATTATGTCATTGATCTGAGATAAAAGAGCTTGATTGTGGGCTGCTGCAAAATGGTTCCCTTGACAAGGAATGGCAATTAACTTTTATCATAATGGTTTCTTATGTTTGAGAGCTTCTGTTCTAACAGTTGCTGCTGAAACATAAAAGTTGAATTGGATCTCAGTTAATTTTTAATCATGAATAGCTGATGTTTTAGTCTTATTCCAAATTAATTCCTTGTGTAACTGTTTATCTGATCTCACTAGTGTAACAACACAATGAAAAATATCCATTTTTTTAGTTCCTCTTTTTACTACAACTACTATAGGCCTTTGGGGCCTTATCTAGAGCCAGCTGAAATTAATCCAATCTTCCCACTGACTTCAGTGTGACTTTCAATAAAAGGTTTCATGTTTTTACTGTTTTAATCCTTCTTACAGTAAAATGTGTAGTGTTATACGAGAGGATGCTCAAGTTCTGTAGACTAATCAAAGATAGTAGTTTCTAATTGCCTTGCAACTGAATTAAATAGGGAAAACAAGATTTAAAAAAACCATCTCAGCTACTTCCTAAGGACTCATGTATACTCTGTAGCTATATTAAGGAATTCATGGTTTAATTAAACTACTCTTACAGTAACAAAAGATGCCATTGTCCAAAGGCATTGTAGATGTTGTTTAAACAAATGCTCCAAACTAGTTGATTGAGCTCCAGGAAATGAACATTCTAAGGACTTAGTCTGAACTCCCAGATGTGTTACTGTTAGAAAAGATGGGATCTGTTTCAGCATATACCACTGAGGTTGCATCCTTGAAATGGTGAATTGTTGCTATGGAACTCTTCTGCTCCACCCTGCTTGACCTTGCATGTCTCTCCTTTCCTCAGTGCACACCTTTGTGCTGGAGAAGAGATTGCAAAAGGAAACAGCTTCTCTACTCCTGTACTTCAGTCAGCAAAGACCATGGTGCAGAGGCATTCTTCACTGCCTGGTTTTGCTTGAGCTGTTTACTTTGATTCTTAAGAGGCATGGAAAATCCTCCCTTCCTAATGAATATGGGATTTTCATTTCAGTAATGAAAATTAGATAAACGTTACCGAAGTGTTCCACAAATAACACCATGAAAATATCTGTCTTGAATAGGAAATACTGCTGGTATCTTAGCTGTAAAGCAAATGAAGCAGGAATAAACACAATGGAAATATCTCAACTGTGTGACCTTTTGGCAATGTACATTCCCTGTATGTGGTTTCCTTGAATGTTGATGTGTTTCTACAGCAGTCCAGCTGTAACTGTGCAGTTGTCCTCCACACTGGGATTCACTCAGTGTGCTGTTCTCTAGCACTGCATTGCTCAGCTGTCGAGAAAGTGTCATGTGGAGTTCTGTTCTGGGTGACCTACTGAGCATGTCTTTGGCGTGACCTTTACACGGTTATTACTGGCTTTAGTGGTTGCAGGCCTCTTCTGAGGTGTTCAGTGCATCGTAGCTTTGAGACTGAAACTGGAGTGTTTGGAATTAAAGTGGTCTGATCTTTCAAGGTCTTTCAGAAAGCATTTCTCTGAAAAAATGTGAGGAGGTGGCAGATGTGCTAGTACTTAATCGGGTTTGAATTATTTTCTAGAACTGTGTTGGTGAGACTTTCCCAGCTGATGTGGGTGGTGGTTCTGGTTGCAGGGGAAGGAGCTGTTCATGCCTGAAGAAGAAAGGCAGAGGGAGGCACGACTCCGTGAGCAGGAGCGTCAGGAGTTATTGCATCAGAAGCGACTTGCACTGGAGACTAACAAAATCATCAAAGAACAGCAAGAGAAAGAGAGATTGTAAGGACTACTTACAGGACAGTGGGAAATTTAGCTTGAATTTGGGAAGGTTATGGAATACAGGAGAAACTGTGAAAAGATTACCAACTAAATCCTTATCCTATGGTGCTCTTAATAATGTTCTGGGTTTTTCAAAGCTGATATCATTCAAACACTTCTTGAATAGAAGGGTCACTTTGTTTCCTGACTGTCATATCTCTATGGTTCAGTGTGATGTTAATTATTTTCCTGATGCCCTTCCCTCATCATTTAGTTTTAGCAGGACAGTTACAAATTGTATGCTCTTCTGGTAAACACACTATGGAACTGTCTCTTAAGGAGATAGTGACTTCCAAAGTTAAACAAATGATATGCCATTACTATTTAGAGGGTCATGAAGGTCTTCAGGGTTTCTATAAAAGTATACTGAACCCTTGGTATCTTAAAGATCACTTTTAAAACAGAGCATTTTCCTGCAATACATATGTATTTGCTATCTGTATCTTCTACTAACTGTATGCTTACACACTTTGTGTGAGTTCTTACTCAGAAAATACTGGTTTTATCATGGTGTCCTAATTCCTCTTATTACAGAAGAAAACTGGAGATTTCCCAGAAGGCTGCAGAGGAAGAAGAAAGATATCGCAGAGAAATAGAGCAGTAAGTAAAAACCTTACACAGGCAATATGCTGCCTGAAAAAATGCCCTTATATATTAGATCTGGCTGAAAACATTCTGCATGTTCTTTTCAGAAAATAATTGTGTAGTATTTCTGTTCAGTTAAATATAGGGTCCAATGCATATGCCTAAGTACACCACAGTTACGGAGTAGGAAACTCATCTGGAAATCAGCACTTGCAAAACATGAGAGTTGTGATAATAAATTCAATGTGACATTGTAGTCAAGTGCTTATTTTTAAAATGTTATAAATGTGTAGAGAAACTTCAGATTAAGGAAGTTCTGCTTCTCATAACTTTTTTACTCCATCACTGAACCACTACATTTAATTCTAACAGGAAAAAAAAAAATACTGCAAGGAAATGTTATCAGGGAAGAAACAGAAAATGACTAAAGAGTTGGAGAAATATGTGTACAGGTGTGAGCTTGATGACATACCCACTTGGCTTATAATTTTAAAAAACAAAATACAGGTAGTCTGTTCACAATTTGCAAGAGTGTACACAGCATGGGATTTAATAGCCTTTCCAGTCTTTCAGGTAGTTCTGAAAGCAAGAGCTATGTAGATTTATAATAAAATAAGGACGATGCGATACTAGTTGTCTTGAGCAGAAATTTCAGTCCCCCTAAGCTTTAAGTAGGCTTTTGCTTCAAGTAAAGAGTTAATTAAATTAAAACTGTGGCACTGAAAGCAGGAAGTTTTGTAACCTATTTTATTTGGGAAATCTGATTTGTATTATCATAGTTTGTTCTGGTTTTAAAAATGATTCTAGGACTAAACCCATTCAAAGATTGTATCATAATAAAGTCAGTACTACAAATGTAACTTAAGTGTTGTTTTGCATTTGAAACTTTAAAGTTAGTTAGCATAACATGCTGGGTTTATCCTAGTAATTAATTTCCCTTCTAAATAATGTTTTATATTAAAGAGAAAAAAACAAATATACTGAACACTGATGGTAATGAATTTGTATTGATGGTTTTGTTCTTATACCTGGAACTTCTAGCTGTATTTCTTTCCTATAGGATAACAGCAGAGGAAGAGAAATTTAAAAAGGAGTGGGAAGAAGACTGGGGTCCTAAAGAACCTCCTAAATCTCTAAAAACTGTAACGGCAGAAGTGCACTCTGCCCCTCGTTCCAAACACAAAAGTAAGTAATTGATTCCAACCTGCTTCCTAGGAGAAAGTATTTGTTTCAGGCATGTCACTGAGCTGTTTGGAATCTCTCACTGGTTTGTGTCCAGGTCAGGCTAGCTATGAGTTGGTTATTTTCAGAAGACTGGAAGAATATGATTAATTTAAGAGCTCTTGGTTACCAGGTACGCAGCTGGCAATATCTGCATCCACTCAGTCACTGCTTTTAGCAATGAGCAGCAGAGGGGAAAAGGAAAAAAAAATAAAACTGAAAAATTGCCTCAAGTATCAACCCCTTTAGCTCGAGGGTTTAGTGCATTGTTTTCCATGTTGCTTCTATTCAGTGTTCTGCCTGTCAGCGTTTTCACAGAGAGTTCTTGCATTAATAGACTTGTACCAGGTTCCACTGTATTCCCCAGTGGAATGGTGCATTCTTTGTCATGTGATTGTTTTTACGTCCATCTGGAGAAGCTGGTATTCAAATGCTAAGTTATATGCATGTAAGTGCTTTCATCTCAGTGAAGAAGATACAGTAATATTTTCATTTGTATTTTACTTATAATTAACTGATTTACTTGTAGTGATACGTAATATTTTAGGGTTTATGGGCATTTTGTTACAGTTTTTGGTTACTTTTGAAATGAAAGTATGAAGAAAGGGAGACAAGTGTTTCTTCCTTGATTTGGAATTAGTTTTGAGCTTTCTGCATAAATTGTATCAGCAAGTAATTTAACAATTTTACATTTGAAGAGTTCTTGAGAGGTGGAGTGTTTGAAGGTAGAAAATTAGTACTAGATTTGCAGTCTCATTTGGATTAAAGTAATGCACATTATACTATTTGTATTGTTACCTTTTTTCCATCTACCCTGCTTCAGATCAGTGTGTTATGGAGGATGGACATTATGGTTTTGAGTATTTTCATCTGCTTGCTTCTAATTAAAAAAAGATGTGGAATCCCTAGTTTTGGTGTGGAAGAAATTTAATTCAATGATTAGTTTTCAGAAAACCGCAAAGATCTTTTCCCTCATCTTTCAGCAGG